CAAATATCTTTCTCATCGCTTTCCTCAGCAGGTCTGCCAGTTTCCAAACCCTATGTGATCTCCTGGTTGGAGCGTGGGGACGGAACCTTCGGAGCAGCCACCCCGCAGCCTCCAGGCCCTCCTCCTTCCGTGCTTGCCCCTCTTCGCCCGTTGCGTCCTGGACCTCTGGCCTCCTTCGGGCCCACACCTCTCTCCCTTTCCCCTCAGGATTGCGCCTGTCTTAGATCCCACCCTGAGGGATCTCAAATTCTGAGCTTCCTTCGAAATTACTTCTTGTGGGTTCTCCTCTCCAGCTTCTCAGTTCTCCTGCTCTCCAGGCCCTTCAGCCATATTTTCCAACCCTGCTTCCCCTCTGCAGCTCCTCCCTCTCTGCCCTTCCTGGCTGTGACCCTGGAGTAGAGACCTACCTCCTCCTTGACTGAAGAAGGCGTGGTGTGGCTTTCCTCCCTTTCGCTGCATCCCAGGAGCCAATCCTAGGCTCCATGGGAAGAGGAGGCAGCGGGAGAGTCCTGGCGGGGGGGGGGCAGTGGCTCCCACGTGCAGGGAGACATCCAGGGGCTGTCCTGGCCGGAGACTGCTGAGGGACGCTGTGATGGGGGGGACCAGGTGCCCCCAGCAGCTGGAGGGAGGTGTGGGCCGCTGCGAGGACAACTATGCTTGGGTTGGACTCGCTGAGTTTGAGACCCTCTGGGATGAGAGCTGGGCAGCTGTGCTCTTCCCTGCTGGTCAGTCACTGTTGTCCATCCACCCCTGAGCAGGGGTCCTGTTCCTTCCTTGGTCCTCATCTTTCTTTCGGGATCACCGACCCAAAGAGCCGACGACATCTGGGATGTCATCAGTTCATGTGACTTAGCCTATGTTCTCCCAAAAGCATGCCATGTGGAGTCTGCCCACTATGCTGGGGGCCTTCCTCGCCTTGCTGTCCACCTGTCATTCCTGGCCATGTAACTGGCCCCTTTTCTTCCTATCGGGCAGTTCTTTGATGCCTTCTTTCACTCCCGATGCACACGTCTTCACTGCCCATGTGGCGATGCTCCTCTTTGGGTCTTTGGAGACGTGGCCCAACTGGTAAGATGTTCATATTGAAAAGATGGGCCTTTGCTTTCAAGGGAAGTTGGGGCTGATGGATTCCTGAAATCTATCTAGCCTCTTCTCTTCCTTTACACCTCTGGGCCCAGCTCCTTGTCCATCTGTCCTATCTGGCCCAGGCATGTGTATATTCCGATGCATTACCCATGTGGTCTTTCCTGTGTTGATGAACAGTCCGTATTCGTTTGGGCCACCTCGGGTCTCTTCCTGGGGATGCTAGAGAATTGTGGGGCTTGAAGCAGCCCACACAGCAGCCTCTGTTCTGCCTCTCCTCCGTTGAAAGGGCCAGCGTACAGCTTCCTGGCTTATGTCTCACCTCACCTTGATTATCAGAGGGCCCACAAACAGGATTATTCTGCTGTTGGGGCTTCTAGGAATCTTGGACAACTTGATGTATAAATGTGGGTCACTTTGCTTGGAAGTGCATTGGGAGGGCTCAGTCAATTCTACTGCATCAGTCTTGGTTTGGTTTGGTTTTCATAATCGAGAAGCACTCTGCACAATGAGATCCGATATTCTCCACGTTTCAGTTAGTTGTGAGATGGCAAAGACGCTGTGGGTCCTTGTGGAATATCACTTGTGGGAGAAAGCCTGCTCGTTCCTACTGATGGCTCCTTGACAATGCCCTGCATTCGGCCCTGGAGGACTCCTCGGGAAGCCTGGGGCTTGGTGGTGCGCCGGGACGGGGAGCTTTTAACACACTTGGTACTTTCCCCGTCCTCAGTGGAGAAAAATTCCGTTTTTCTCCGATCGACAGTTCTTCTCTTTTCATCCTTTTTACTTCTCTAAAGGCACTTCCTCTCCACCACTTCTCTGCGCTTGGTAAGAAGGTGGTTATCATGATTGTCCTTAACCTTCTTTGTAAGATTTTACAAACAATTCTCTCTCTGAAGTAAATCAGATGCTCACTGATTAAGGTGCTTTCTGGGCTATTTTGATTTCCTCGCGGCTATTCATTTATACAGTTAAATCTGTAGTTTAAATAATTATAGTTAGGCTCAATGCCATTTATTTCCAAGTAACACCTATTTTTAAATTAATCCGTCCCTCCACCTACCCCTAGCAAATTTAAAAAAGGAAACAAAACCTGAAAAACAAATCATTCAGTGCATACGAAGGTAGTTTGGCAAACAGATTGCTCTATTGGCTACGTCTGAATGTGGATGTCTCTTTTGTATTCTGAGTGCATCCCCTCTCAGGAGGTGAGTAGCATGTTTCTCTTCGTTCGTTTGGACTCAGGTTTTATCATTGCGTTGGTTAAGGCTGTAAGGACTTCCAAAGTTGTTTTTGTTTGTAAGTAGTTCTCCTAAGTCACTTCAGAGAAGTCTTCCTGGTTCCCTCTGAAATTTTCCATTTTATCATCCTTTTGACACAATAATAATTCATTACATTTGCACGCCACCATTTGTTCTGCTGTCTCCCAACAGAGGAGCCCCTTCGTTTCCAAGTTCTGACCCCACAGGAAGGGTGGCCGCCAATATTTTTGTACACGTGGGTCTTTTTCTACTTTCCTTGATTGCTTTGGAGTATAGTCCTGGTCATAGCATTGCTGGGTCAGAGGGCATGCCGCTGATGTCTCTTCTCTTGCTCATATCCTGTTTTTAAGTTTAAGTTTAAATTCAGGGTTAAATTGTTTCATTTGCACACTGCAACTTTTTATTCCTTTTTTTTATTCATTCTGATTTGAGCTCAGATGAGTCAATGGTGTGATGCTGTAGATTCAGCGATCACTCTGATATCAGTCACAAGTCTGGGGTCCATTCTTTGTGGTGTTATTTGGTGTTCATTGTGTCAGCACTTAGCAATGTTCTGGGGGTTTTTTGGGTAAAGAAAGTATTGCTTAGATGAGGCGGTGTGACACAGTGGCCTGGGAGTCAGAAGACCTGACCTCAAACCCTACTTCAGACACTAGCTGGGTGGCTGCGGGCAACTCAGTGCCCCTCTCTGTGCTTCAGTCAAACAAGGGTCTGGGCCCGAGGGCCTCTGAAGCCCCTGCCTGCCCTCACTGGAGAGGGGCGCGAGGCTCCCGTGTCATCTGCAGGCCTTGGGGATGCCCATCTTTCTGTCGAGCCACTTCCCGTTTCTCCCCATCCTTCCTTTCTCCACCTTTGTGCTGAAGTCATACATTCTCAGTGTGTGCTGACTTGATTTGTCAAGTGTTCTTAGGTCATTTGTAGGTTTTGTAGGCACTCAGGAGCCACTATTGGATTACTGTGTAAGCTGCCGTCGTTATCATGGCGGTCTTGAGCAAGCACTCCTCATCAGTACTGCGATACTCAATGACCCAGTACCCCATGCAAATGCTTTTTGTGGCCCCTGGGCATATAATGCAAGCACCCTACCAACTCTAGTCTTTTTCTCCTCGTTGGAGCTGTCCTACTGATTAGCAGCTTCATGTAGAGTAAGAATGTCATTATGGGTGTGGTTTAGCTTCTCCAGCAGCGTGTCCACATGCAGGCCCTTCGACGAGGATCTCACGTTCAAGTTTGATGATGGT